AAGATGGCTTGTAAAAATCAAAAGGACAAGCATGAAAACATGGTATAACGCATTCATCTCAAAGACAGGGCTTCACGTTTAAGTAGTACAGGATGAAGCTGCCTACATACAGTCTCAAAACACAGCATCAACAACACTTCTGGGGCCAGGTTGCATTGAAGGTAAATCATACACCTGTTTCTATTGCATGAACCCTGGTGTCCCTTTTGGATTCCAACACAAACATAGCAGGTTGTACACCTCCCACCAGCCATATAGGACACTTTGGCAATTTTATTACTCTGCTATCACCACTTACTACACCACTAAATCCCCCAATCATTATACATCCAGTTCAGCACTGACCCCATAAACCAGTTCAAAGCAGAAATTTCGCGGGCGATATGATAAAATCAGTGAGTATGGTTTGTTATGAGATTTCTAACAACTAATGCTAGCTTGAAATCTCCACTTTTTCCTCAGTAGTTGACTTGCCAATGCTTAAATGCAGCTCCCAGGTTACCAAGTTGTATGGAGCAGAGGCTGAATTTTCAACCAGGGATCAAGAACTGGGTGCGGGAGCTAATTCTGTGTCCCAAATCCACATTGCAGACTGTAGTCACACCTACCACAAGCTTTAGTGCCCAGTTGAGGGTGGAAATTGAGCATGGGGGTGGAGGAACAAGAAGGAGAATGGTGAGATTTGTCGTCCAAGCAGTAAAGGACAAGGGCAAGTGACGATACATTTATGCATTAACATACCACAACTGCCGTGGGTTCTGGATGGGGGAGGGACGTCTCTTACATGTACATTTGCAACAAACTCTTCCTACACCCCCGCCTTCAACACTTCCAGCCCCAAACGTACCACATTCACCTAGACGTGCTCCAGGTTGACGTAGGCTGTTGGCTAATGCAGTTGGAAATTCCAGGTTCTGTTAGAACTGGGCCTCTAATAGGCCTATAATTGAAATTAAATTGGCATCAATTAGCTACCCACAACTTCCCACTGGGTACCAGATAAGTCCCCAGCAAAACGGCATTCCCACCAACACTGATCCACGCTCTGACCCTCTCAAAAATCCAGCCCCACTAATTTAAAGCTTGATATCTAGTCTGTGCTGTGTTGGCTAAGTTTTATCTTTCATCCCCATATCCTCAGACTAGTAAATGGGAAAGTTGAGAGAAATCAGAAAAACTTCCCATGCTTGATCACAAACCAACTATCTCTATTCAGAATGAAGGATGTATAAGAAAGTCCTAAGCTCCGAAATTCCTTCCGTTAAACCCCTCTGCCTCTTCACTGCACTCTCCCCCTTGAACGCTATCCTGCCTCAAACTTTAGATGAGCTGTCCTACTCTCCCCGGACGTTTCTTAATGACAAATTTGTCTGATCATGTTCTTTTGAACCTCAGGGATATATCTCAAAGTTAAATGTGTTACGTAAATCCAAGCAGTTGTGTACATTGTGAGAGGACAGGGTTCTGCATGGACATGCTCTGCTGTGCTTCCCCAAACCCCCAGGTCAATGTTCACCATCATGGCTCACACAAAGATGAAAGCCTGGGGAGTCAACAGTGCAGGCACCTTCAGGACTACTGCATGCAGTATTAGTGGTCCAGTGATAGGAAGGATATTATTAAACTGAAGAGGGTTCAGTAAAGATTTACGAGGACGTTGCCAGGACTGGAGGGTTGAAGATATAAAATTGGACTGGAAAGGCTGGGACTTCTTTCACTGGAGCATAGGAGGTTGGGGGTGACTTTACTGAGGTTTATAAAATCATGAGGGGCACAGGTAAGGTGAATGACAAGGGTCATGAAAGAGTTCAAAACTATGGGCCATATTTTTAAGGCGAGAGGGGAGAGATTTAAAAAAGACATGAGGGGCAACTTTTTTTTTTTAAAAACACAGAGTGGTTCGTGCATGGAATGAACTTCCAGAGAAAGTGACGGATGCAAGTACAGTTACAGCATTAAAAAGACATTTGGATAAGTTCATGAATAGGAAAGGTTTGGAGGAATATGGCCCAAGCGCAGGCAAGTGGGACTAGTTTAGTGTGGGAACATGGTCAGCATGGACTGGTCAGACCAAATGTTTCCATGCTGTGTGACTCTATAGCTCTATGACTCAATGGGTCCATGAGACAGAGTCATGTCCTTGCAGAAATATTCCTGCCCCGAACAATATTCCTCCTGACAGAGGGCAAGAGCCTTGATCTGCTTCAGATATATCTTTTCCTCACTTGCACTCTATTTAGTTGCACATCAGTGGATTTCACAGACAACGCTGAAATTCAGATGTAAAATTACACTCAAAATCAATACCAAGCATGAAAGCCTTCCTGAGACAGCTTTCTTTCAAATATACTTACATCAACCATCTTGCGGATGTGCTTATTGATGACAGTGGGATCTGGCTTTGGTGTCAGCCCAGGTGCCCAGTCTACAAGTGCCACATGTTTGTTCGGAGTGGTTGGGGTGCTAGGCTGTAAAAGAAACATTACTTTGTATTGCATTGTAGCACATAGTAATTGTGGGGGGTTTCTGCAGCACAGAAATAAGCCCTGTTGCAAATATTTTTGCTGTTTCCTCTTCCTTCAGCTCACTCCTGAGGGGGGGGCGGTGGTGGAATAGTGGCATGGTGGGGAGGTCATTAGACTTGAAATCCTGATGTTTAGATTGGGTTCAAATCCTGCCACAGCTGCTGCAGGAATTTAATAAGTTAACAAAATAAATCTGGAATTAAAATCTAGTCTATTGTGATCATGACACAACTGTTCTGAAATCCAGCTGGTTCTCAGATGCCCTTTAGGGAAAGAAATCTGCCATCCTTACCTGGGCTGGCCTACATGTGACTCCAGGCCCACAGCAATGTGGTTGGCTCTGAAATGGCTTAACAGTTCTATCAAACTGCAGCAAAGCCTAAAAGAAATGAATCTGGATGGACCTGGTTGCAAACTCAACCCTGTTGATCTTGCAAAGTCCTCCTTACCAATATGACGGGTCTTGTGCCAAAATTGGGAGAGCCGTCCCACAGACCAGTCAAGCATCAGCCTAACATAGTCATACTCATGGAATCATTATAGACGATGCCTCAGACACCACCATCACTATCCCTGTCTCAGTGACAGAGTGGTATACAGTCAAGAGAGAATTGCCCCAGGAGCCTTCAACATTGACTCTGGCCTTATGAAGTCTCATGGCATCAGGTCAAACATGGGCAAGGAACCTTCCTGCTAGTTACCACCTCGTGTTCCCCCATAGCTGGTGGATCAATAATTCATGTTGAACACAATTTGGAAGAGGGAATGAGAAACAAATGCTGATCCAGTCAGTGATGCCCACGTGTCGCGATCCAAATAGAAAAAAAACCTTGTGTTCTTTCCTCCCTTATACAACAGCCTCGCTTTCCCTTCTAACTGGTATCAATAATTGTGGCAACACATCCTAAAGTAAAATATATAGAAGCATGCATTACAAGGTGTCTTTGACTGAAATCCTTTCACTGCACAAAATGCTGCCAGACCTGCTGATTATTTCCAATACTCTTCATTGACGTTTCTGACTTAGGGGATGTTGTGATAATTACTAAAGCTGCATACATTCATAGTAACCTACCAATCAGTAAGAGCTAGAAGTGGCGAGCCATGCAGTGAGGGATACAGCCACCAGTTGGGGGTGGGGTTTAGGCAGCAGCCCCCAGCAGTCAGGGGTGACATTAGCCAGCGAAGTGGCTGGAGATTCTAGAAGATTCCATCATGGCTTTGCATCGCCATCACCACTATCTGCACCCATGTAGGCGTCCTGTAGCTATCTTTGCCAGTTCGCTTGATATTGCACACTCCAAACCCGTCAGCCCTAAAAGAAAACTGACCCAGTCAACGCAGAGTGGGTTTAGCCAAAGCTCCAGAAGATGCTGGTGAAGCAGATGAACAATATCGTTGGCAGTTTCCAGGGCTTGCAAGGGCAACAGAAGTTCAAATGCTGTCGAAAGGAGAGATGAGGGTAGGGAGACAATCCGTTTCCAAAGAGCACTATCCTGTCTCAGGACTGGCTTACATTGGCATGCCATGCCAATTATTCTGAGCTAACGTGTGTCCCACCAAGAGTGCCAGGGTCAGTGAAATAACCATTAAACAAAAGGAGGGTTTTTTTTTGTTTTTAAAAGATTTCTCAATCAAATCCTTACACACGAGAGGGAGGAAATGGCCAGGGGCAATTGGGAAATGGGAAGTGGGTATTGCAGAACTAAGGATGGACTATCTTCTCCTCACAGATGGCAGGCATTGGCTGGTTCTTCCATCATAAAGAAAGAACCAGGAAAACAAAAGCCCTCAGTGTCCCTCACGTTTCTAACTCCGGCAAAAGTACACCCCGCCAAATCCTAAGATTGACACTGCTGGAGGAAACCCTCTGATTCTAATTCTCCAGGTAGAAGGTTTAAAAGCACACGTATGACCAGATTAAAGAACAGCTTCTTCCCGCTGTTAACAGACTTTTGAACGGACCTCTTAAATGTTAATGTTGATCCCTCGCTGCACCTTCTCAGCAGCTGTAACATTGTATTCTGCACTCTGTTCTATTACCCTGATGCACTTGTATTGTATGATCTGTCTATACAGCATGCAAAACAACACTTTTCCCTGTATCTCAATACATGTGACAGTAACAAATCAAATCAAATCACGACCATCTCCGTTAATAGCCACTCTTGCCTCTGAGTCACAAGGTTTTAGGTTTGAGACACACTCCAGGACGTGAGAACAAAAATCCATCCTGACACATCACTGCTGCCCTTAAGGGGTTTTGCATTGCTGCAGGCATTATCTTTCAGAGGAGGTATTAAACGAAGGCTCCACTCACATGCTTGGCACTAACACGAAGAGGGGAGTTATCCCTAGCATCCCGGCCAATATTTGTTCCTCTATCATCACCACAAGGCTATAGGTAATCTGGTCATGACCACATTGCTGGTTTATGGCAGTTTACTGTATGTTAACTAGCTGCCATGTTTTCTATATGACAATAGAGACTACACATTGAAGTACTTCACCCATTGTAAAGCACTTTGAGACATCCAGTGGTTACGAAAATGAAAGCTACTTACCGTCGATTTAGGATTCCTAGGTTCTCGAAGTAGCGATAATTCATAGATTTCATCCTCTGTGTAGTATAAATCCAGGGAAAGCTGTGCAAAACACACAAGTAGCAGTGTTTCTCAGGGTCACTTCAACTTCACACAATTATGATTCCAATTTGCACGCCTGAATCAGGCACTATACTGAAACAGTCTGAAGTCAGTGGGTATAGCTGGCATGGTGGGGAGGTGTGGGGAGGTGTGGAGGGGGGTGGGGGGTGGGCATTGGGTGGAGTTGTTGGTGGATGGGGGTTCAGCATCATAGAGGAGTCTTGTCACCCTGGTCCTGCTCAGGAGTGATCAGGGATAGTGAACTTCAGCCCTGATATACCTAAAATGATATGATGCCAACCAGCCACACATTACTCACACATTTATACCCCTGTAAGTATATACACATGCATGTAATCAGAAATGCACACAAGCATACACACACTCACATATATGTATACACATAGAAACACAAATGCGCACTTAAACGTACCGTCAACAGGTGTATTAAATCCATATTTGGTTCTAAATGCGGATTTGCATCCTGAAGTGAAACCAGTTCATTAAATGTAACATACAACTGCTGCATTTTAACAATGTTCACTTTATTATCATCTATCCAGTCCGAGAAAGCTACATGGACGGCAATCAGGTCTTTCAAGTGAACTCCCAAGATCGGAATCTTGAAGCCCTCACATTCAGCAAAGGCCTTCCGATAGTTGCAGTAATTCCCATTTGAGGAGACTAGTTCGGTCATTTCATTCCAGACCTAGTGATGAAAATGGTGACAAAAATGGAGAAGATTTAAAAGAAAAATATCTTTTGAAAACACAGGTCATGTTAAATAAAGTGGGAACTTTTCCATTAATAAACCATCCTACACATTGAAACATTCTTTCGGAAAATAGCCCAAACACAGATACAGATTTTGTGTAAAGCTGTGACTGAAGTCGGGTGTTATATTCTGGTGTATTCTGAATATTGTACAATTTTAATTTCAAGGAATTGTTCCCTCATTTCAGATACTTTCATTAGACAAGCACAAACAAGCAACGGAGAGGGACCAATTTCATATTTTAAGAAGCTTGAATAATAAATGTTTGAATAAATTCATGTATTACTCAATTTAAGGTGATCTGAACAAGCCTCCTCCACACAATAGCCACTGTGGACATTCCCTGAGATGAATTCCATGGAAAGGGAAGAAATTAGACACTTTGTGTACAGAAGCAGCAAAATGAAAGAGAACAATGTCAAAGATACATTCCAGCAAAGACTACTGAATGAGGCAGACAGAAGACATGTTTCCTCAAAGATCAAACCAGCTTAGACTTAACACTGACTCCGGTTTCAGACAAACTGCCCAAGAAAAGTATATGGTATTTAGCTGGATAAAAAGGAGACATTATTTAGCATTTGCTATGAAAGGGGATACAAAATTAACTCATGTTATGGTGAGAACTATGTCAAATCATTACTTGTTCAGCTCACTATTGTAAATAATGCAGTTTATGGGTTAAATGAGGTCTTGGCTTGTTAGAAGTGTGAATCCTCCTTGTAGAATATATCGGAGAAGGAAGCATGGAACCAAGTGTTGGAATGTTGATACCGAGTAAATGGGACGAAAACCCAACTGCTACATCCCTTCTGAGTTTTCTGATGGTAACCCAAAGAGATCTTGGCAAGTTCAGGGGTTTGCTCAGGCTGAACAGCATATGCAAGTGACCTGAAATTTGTAAGAATTTGCAGGCAGGAGGGGTCACAGAATCCACACAAGGACAGGTGGTAAGTAGTCAATAGTGTAACGTATGGGGATAATACAGTGATGCAAATAACTATCTCATAATGCTAATATTGTACATGTTAACGCAACAATAAATGCTAACATCAGCATTGACGTCAGACAATGCAAGATCACATGGAACTGAGACCTGAATGAAGGAGGTTCTATAGTGAAGCCCAGCTCAATCATATGTAGGTAGTAAATGTCTATCAATTTGCACATCTGGTGTGCAGTCCTCATCCATCAAAAGTACCTGGAATCTAGTCATGATGTTTATACAAGAAGAAGGAATGAGCCAATTGGCCACTTCTTACCCAATCTTTTTTGCATTTTTCTGGCACTTGTTACTTTACCTTTGTAACTTCCGGAGCAAGGTGTGAGCAAGTTTCCTTCAGGCGGGATATGGCACTGTGGCTTAAGCCTCCTACGACAGCCATCAGCGTATTGAAATTCTGGAGCTGGAGTAAATTCTGAAACAGATGCAGCAGAGTATAAGGCTGTTTGTGAAAGATATCGCAGCTTAACTCCATCGCTGCATCACAACCAAAAATATGACTACTGGCCAGAAATCATACAGTATGCCTCACTTCCACTGTTCCACATGCCCTGTGTATTTACAGGTATCCAACCTGAAATTCTTAGTGTGATCGAATCTTGATGCAAATGGATAACACCATTTTCTTGAGCAGAACTGAGCTATGTGCCACATAGAACATGTTCAGGGATGGGATTAATGGATTCAGAATTTTAAAAATAAAGATGTAGCAATACAGGAACACAGGTAGGCCATTAAGCTTTCTGTTCGTGTTCCACATTTTCTGGCGGCATTGAACAGTCTTTTCATCAGATAAAACAGTTTTTCTCCATCTATCCTATCAAATCCTTTAATCATCTTAAATGCCTCAAAAGATCACTGAAGTAACTGCACAGAGGCTGGTATCCCATCACCAAATGGGGAGGCAATGGCCTAGGGGTATTATCATTGGACTGTTAATCCAGAGACCCAGATAATGTTCTGGGGAGCTGGGTTCAAATCCTGCCATGGAATTTGAATTCAATAAATATCTGGAATTAAGAGCCTAATGATAACCATGAATCCATTGCCAATTGTCGGAAAAACTCATCTGGTTCACTAATGTCCTTCAGGGAAGGAAATCTGCCATCCTCATTTGGTCTGGCCTACATGTGACTCCAGACCCACAGCAATATGTTTGGCTCTTAACTGCGGGATGGGCAATAAATGCTGCCTAGCCAGCAATGCCCTCATCCCATGAATGAATAAAGACAAAAAATAGTCACCCTTTATTTACATGTGCACAGTAGACTGGCTGTGACCAGCCAGCTCGGAGTTAGTCACCTGAACCAAGGAGAGTCTGAATCTCCTGCTTATATCTGTCAGCTACGGTTTTCCCAGTTGGCCCAGGTTAACAAACCTAATCAACAACCTCATAGTTAACAAGATCCATCTGGTTCCAATAACTAAGAGAATTCTGTTTCACCATGCAAATGTAGTGACTTCTGTAAATCCAGTGTTAAATTTACATGCAGTGACTCAACTAAAGGAGCTAATTAAATACCATGTATGAAGTAGAGGGTACTGGTTCTGAAAAGGTTAAGATTAGAGACTGTATTAAACTTTATCCAATGTAATGACATCATATAGTGTTGAATAAGGGAAACCAAGAGAACAGCTCTGGATCTCAAAGGAAATAAATATGTCAACTATGTCTCTCAATGGTCTTAGTAGCAATGTCTAACCAGTTAGTATAGTTATTCTAAATCAATCTTTTCAGACGGTATTATGACATATCTCTAGAGTGTGTGACACTTGAAATTTGATCTTCTGGCACAGAGATAGGGATACTAATATTGTGTCACAAAATCCATTAACTAGCTAGTGTAACTAATTGCTATCACTCAATAAACTACCCATGGGCATTGTTGCTTTATACAACGTACAGCCGTGGAAGAAAGTCCACTGGGCCCAAGAGAAGAAATTTGCAGAAGATCAAGTGAATTTGGAGCTTTGAAGACTTTACCATTTTAAGAACTACTCACACATAGAGAGTCAGCAACTGTAAGTGCTTAAAAAAAAACAAGTCAGCAGGGATGCGTAGAAAAATTGACTGGAGAGAGACAACACTCCAGGTTAAAGCCTTCAGCTTAGAGTTGGTAAGAAGTGCAGAAGCAGCAGTGCAAGTTAGAAAGAGCTTAAGGACCAGTCACAACCTGACAGTTACATATTCCATCAGGAATCAAGGATCTGTAAGAGTATTCCCAGTTTGAAGTTTGGCTAGGAAATGAATATATCAGAGCTCCATGAATAAGTTTGAAATTCTTTGTTGGGTAAGGGAAGAAGATTTAAATCAATGGTGTAATAAACAGGCTGGGAAGCTCAGAATTAAAAACAATAGAACTCGTAGCTCACAATGAACATTGCTGCCATAGCATATTGACACTCTGAGGCATGGCTGTAGTAGGGAAATCAAGGGCCATAAAAATATTTTGCATCGGGATCTTAGCAGGAGGAAATGACGCAAGAAGAATTAAGGTGTCAAAGTGGCAATTTTAAAGCTAAAGCGGACAGAGATCAACAGAAGTTAGAATATTCTCAGTGAACATTAATATCAGGAGATCCATTATTTAAACTGGCAGGGAGAATTAAGGCTGCGGGTTCAAGGCTTTATTTGGGTAAGTTGTGGAAAAGGATGTGTACGTGCTGAAGGTGGAAAAATTCCACTTTGTCTCTAAGAATGCAGAAAACCTCCTCAGTAAACAATACAGTTATACCGCATTATTATTTGACAAATTAAAAGTTTTGCTTCTACTATTTACAGAAATAAGAGTATTCAAGGGAAAGAGATTATTGTAGGTACTGCAGAAATTGAACACCTTCAAGGAAAGAAACAAAATCACATTTAGAAATACATGGCAGGGGAAATATTACTGCCTCAAATATTCAGTACTAGAGATGGGCCAAACAGACCTCAGTGTTGGAAATCTTAGAGAGAACAGTTCTTAAGGTACAGAAATCCGTCACACTTAAAATCTATTCCACAACATGAACAGATAAATACATTATTGTATTTAGTAGGACCTATTGTTCATAACATTATACATCACCAAAATATAAAAGAAGGCATAAGCACTTTTAAAGACATTGTGCAAGCTTTTGACAATTATTCTAGTCTGAAAACACCATTTTTGAAAGACCAAGATTTAGCAGAAGAGTTCAGCTTCCAGGAGAATGCACAGATAGCTTCATTGACGATCATAGAATCCCTACAGTGTGGAAACAGGCCCTTCGGCCCAAAAAGTCCACACCGACCCTCAGAGCATCCCACCCAGACCCATCCCCCCCCACTAATCTACACATCCCTGAACACTGTGGGCAATTTAGCATTGCCAATCCCACCTAACCTGCACATCTTTGGACTGTGGGAGGAAACCAGAGCTCTCGGACGAAACCCATGCAGACACAGCGAGAATGTGCAAACTCCACACAGACAGTCGCCCGAGGGTGGAATCAAACCCCGGTCCCTGGTGCTGTGAGGCAGCAGTGCTAGCCTATCTCTACAGATTAACAGAAAACTGTGACTAGGGAACTTTGAAATCAGAATTCATGAGAGACAATTCTTGCTGGAATTTTTGATGTTTTTTTTGTCAGATTTAATAAAATGGAAAAAAAATATTTGAGAAGGCTATTTGAATGGTGCTGGAAGCGAAGCCAAGAAGAATCACACACAAGAGGAGAAGGACAATATTATGATAAGAGACAACAGAACCTTTCAACCTGATAAGGTATCAACACTCTAAAGGGACACATAACAAGGCAAGACAATGAGTAGGCCAATCAGCAGTCGGAGTCAGTGTCAATGCTACTGAATATAAATTGTGAATCCATTGTTAATTGTTGGAAAAACCCATCTGGTTCACTAATGTCCCTTAGGGAAGGAAATGGCCTTCCTTACCTGGTCTGGCCTACATGTGACTCCAGACCCACAGCAATGTGGTTGCCTCTTAACTGCCCCCTGCGTAATTAGGGATGAGCAACAAATGCTGTCCTAGCCAGTAACATCCTCATCCCATGAATGAATAAAAAAAAGGCCTCACAAGTTCAAGGAGTGCCCAGTAATGCCAAAAATATGCTACATCGATTAAATTACATGTCACTTCAAAAGGATGTGCAGAAGTAGGATACAGTTTCAGAGAAGTAAACAGTCAAATCCCTACTTACACAAAGCTATTAATGTAATAGAAACACTAGCATTAGTAAAGTTTTTCCAGTATATTCTTAGGGGACGTTCATGATCCAAACAGCCAACGTTCATCAGAAATAAATTTTCAGCCCAGTTTCAGCACAGCTAACACATTTTTACTGACTTATGGTCCCTATTATCAATTTTTCTTTCTCTCCGGCTGACCACTACCTCTCACTTTGTCTGCCAAACTATCTTTCTCTCTCTCTCTCTCACTCTCACTCCCTCTCTCTGGACTCTACAACTACGCATTCACTGACTCTTCCTCCCCAACCATTCCTGGTTTCAGCATGTATACCACCTTTACCTAACTAATAGTTCCGAAGAAGGGTCAGTGGACTCAAAATGCTAACTCTGCTTTTTCTCCACAGATGCTGCCGGACCTGATGAGTTTCTCCAGCAATTTGTGATTTTGTTTCAGATTTCCAGAGTCCACAGTTCTTTGTTACATTTATCACATTTGTCAGAATCCATTTATGTCAAGGATATCTCATTAATTTTAAGCTTGATAAGGGTCAGGTGTCACTGTTGCATTAGATCAAATATCAGGGTTGAAGAAACAGAAGACACAGCTTACTGATATGAAATGTGGTCAAGCTTGGAGGTATACTACAAGTAATACCACAGCACAAAGTGTGAGAGAGATGAGACTGTAGATATGTTTCAGAATCAACACTTCTCACTTTTGAAACTGCACACACGCCTTGACTTTAATATCCTTAAGGCAGTAGAAAGTGTTCATTTAGTTCCAAGAGCCAGTGGATAGTTCAAAGTAAACCAAGTTATGCCATAAAAGACACAAATTTCTGGAAAAACTCAGCAGGTCTGGCAGCATCTGTGGAGAGAAAACACAGTTAACCTTTTGAGTCTAGTGACCCTTCTTCAGGGTTCTGCAAAGTCTATTGAAGGAGAAGACAGAGAGATAAACCAGTGGTAAATGTATTTATATACATGCAGGTACAGAATGTTGGAGGAGATGTTGCATAGGATAAAGGCTCTGATCGGGTTCAACTGGGGACTGAATTAAGTGCCACCTAACCTGATGACAATCAGACAGACAGTCTTAGTGGAGAAAATCAGGACAATTGCTTTGGATCAGAAGAGGATAAATCAGAGTGTTACCCAAGCCTTCCAATAGTATCAGTAACAATCTCCAACTAACTTATGTAACTTGTAGCTAATTGCTGTCGTGCAACTAGCCACATCTTATTGAGACAAGATCCTCTTTTTGTTAGGACTCACTAGTGGTTGTTCCTCTATCATTGTACACCAA